CTGTGGTTCTTAACCTTTATTGGGTTGCAGTCCCATTTGAAATTCAGTAGAATGTTATGAACCATCTGCTCAGAAAGGCATTACTCTCATGGCATTGTATATGTCATCTTGCGGGCATCATGGAGTTCCAGAATCCATAAGCACCTGGTTAAGATCTGGTTTCATTTGTTTGTGACTTTGTTTGTTTGCTTGTTTTGTGGGGGGGGGGGGATAAAAGAGCCTGTAAGCTAGAGGCAAATGAGAAGCAAGAGCATTAATTCCTTGGGCTCAGTCAATCTTAACAATTTTTCCTAACATTTGACACCCCCCCTTTTTTTTTTTTTTACAGAAATGTTTTCTGTTTTGTTTTATTTGTTGCTTGCTGGAAAGGAAGCTACTGGGAGAAAGTAGGAGGAAGGAAAATCCAGACAGGCCTAGGCTTTGACATGCAAAACATGCTTAGCAGATTTGTCCTCAAGAGGCTGGAAGCAAAAAGAGAGAAGTCTATCTTCCTAAGCCCAATGATACTGGGTGGGAATTATTCATGCGGTTTAGCCCATCTGGATTTCAGTAACATGTCATGGTACCAGGGTGCCAATCTGGAATTAGTCAGCATCCATATCCTTGGAAAGAGACATGACACAATTCTCCAATATTTAGCTAACAACTCTACCCCCTTCCAAATAAGGTAAACAATGGCCCCAATGTGAGTGGTCTTTAGATCAGGGTAAGATTCCTAAGAACAGTCTTTAGCCCTGAATCATGCAGAATCCAATGACCTTTGAGGAAACAAGCTGTTCAGAGAGGAGTGGAAAACTAGGCTCCATTCTTCAATACAGATCAGTGGGTATTTTCACTTCAGTAAAGCTTGGAGCTTGAGAGAATCCAGCCATCCAGTGTCCTAGGAATTGCTCACAACAGAAATTCTGGGGCAATGAAGACAGAATACGAAGGAGAAACAAACACATGCCTAAGACATGTGCTCTTCATTTTATAGGTTCCCAGACACTGAACCTACAAGGCCAGAAAGAGCTGCTCTTCAGCACCAATAGCTCACAAGGGTTTGAAGTAGACCCTTTCCCATCCAGAAAAGAGTCCCTCAAGGCCAAGTCCTTTCAAACCTAAAAGAGAAAGAAGAAAGTAGGAAGTTAGCTAGGCCTTGGTAAATATTTCACAGATATTGGGCAATGGGGTCTCTCCAGTTATTTACCCTGTAACTGATACCCAACCAGGAAAAAAAGACTTTACTACTTCAGACCCTATGCAGTAGGCCCCAGACTCCTGAAACTAGAAGTAGAGACTGCCCCTTCACCCCCTTCGACGATTCCCTAAAAATCTTTCAGCAGAGGAAGCAAAAGCCCAAGAATAGGACTTCTAAGACTACTGGCCCACTCTCCTCCCTTACATCGTAGCCACTACATTTCTGGTCCCTTCAGTATCTTCAAACTTTTTTTGAACAGGCCTTCAGTTTTAAAGCTGATAAGGAAAGGCTTATCTATCTCAGGTCATGGAGGACTGCCAGTGACAGGAAACAATAGAAGCCTAAGGAGTACATTGCAAGCCAAACCCCAGAGACTTGGACTTCATTAATGTGCATATTGGTTCATGTTATGCCAGAGATCTGATAACAAAGCAATCAAAAGTCCTACGCAGAGAAAGACATTTCCCTGACCCCCAAGTCTCCTGTGACCTTAGCAAGTCACTTATCCCCTCTGAACTTCAGTTCCTTTGTTTGTTGATTTAGAACACATAGTATCCTCCTTACTCCTGGGATGTGATGTGGATCAAATGAGATCATGGATATGAAAGTTCTTTGTGCTAGAAAAATATAAAGGACTTCAGGTAGGAAGGACTGAAATAGTGACTTGGTCTGAAGGAATGAAATCCCACTACAGACACCTTGATGTTTGTTATACTATCAAAAGGGAAGTCACTAGTTTCTGTTCAGACTCACAGGGTATCAGAGTAACAAAGTTCCACCCATCTCATTTTACAAACAGAAATTGAGACTAGGAAAAAGAAACATGCTTGGCCAAAAAATCACAGCCTGGGATTCCCAATGAATTCAATCAAAAGGCAATCTGAAAATAATGCGGCTGAGGAAGAACAGAAGGAAAACAACTTCAAATCATACAAAACCTCACAAAGAAGTAAGTTTAAAGGATACATAATTTTAGGGTAGTGGACTGAGGTGTGAAGTAAGGTCCCACCATCTAGACTTATGTGGTAGTCTAGTCTTCAAAATCTTAGATGTCATGAAATAGGCTTATTTGAAGAACGTTTTGTAATATAGAAACAACATACCCATAGCCTCAACTCTCATCTCCAGGAAGTTTTCCTTGAGAACTGTAGGCAAAAGAAAGAGATTTCAATAAAACCCTTGAAATTAGGACTAAAAAGACTAATGGCAAATTACTCCTACTCATGATTTCAATTCCCACAAAATATTAGAACTCTTCGTCCAAAATATCACTATTCATATTACAGCATATAAAGATGCCCCACACTAGAGTTCTACAATACAATAGTTATACCAAATTCTTCTATTACTGGATCTCTACGGGCTCCACCCTGGCAACTACCTCAAGTTGCAGTTACTCTTGGGGCATCTCTATGTGAATATCTTGAACTGTCTTCACAGTCACCATTTGAAATTGAGCACAAGTAAACATCTCAGAAAACCTGTTTCTTTATGATTAATTATTGTACCATCTACCAAATTGCCCAAGTTAGACTTTTCTCTCTCTATCTCTCTGCACTTCTATAATGCCTCACATTTGAAAAGTCAACAGGGTCTAATTGACCTGATCTCAAATCTGTCCTTGTCTTCCATTCCCATGGCAACACCTTAGGTCAGGACTTTCATCAACTCTTGCCTGCAAGATTTGTTTCCTAATTGGTCTCCTTGCTTCCAATATTTACCACCAGAGTAATCTTTTTACAACTCAGCCAGCTCAGAATGTGCACCACCACTTAAACATCTTCCATGACCTTCCCCGAGTAGACTATCATACAAAAAGCAAACACTTTAATATGTCATACTAGACCTTTGCAATGTGGCTCTAATTCATATTCCTAGTCTTATGTTCAGCTAAGATTTTTCCTCTCACTCCTACATTATAGACAAAGTGAAATACTAATCACTTCTGAAGCTTTACTGCCTTAGGAAATATTCTCTCCTCCCTTATTTTCTTTACAAATCTCTAATAAATTTTTGAGTTTTTCTTTTTTAATTGTTGAAGAGGGCAAGGGAATAATGAACAGATGCTATCAAAATGATAGGATGCAGCCAAGTATGCAAATGGAAGACTAAAAGGGGCAGGACAACAGTTAAACATTTTTTATTTTCTATGAAAGAGGAAGTTGGCAGCAATGACCAAATAAGGGATTAGCCATATGACTAGTAACATCTTGCTCAGTGGCCAGGATGTGGGATAGATAGGGTGGATTCAAGGTGGGATTCCTATGTGGCATCTAAAAGACCCTATGGGTAGTCAAGATGTCGTATTGAAGGCAGATATATTTTAGTCTTACCCACATTACTTTCAAGATGTATTCTTAGGACAGAGAGGATTAAGTCTAGGTTCTAGAAACCCAGATAAAGAGTGGGTAGAATAGGATAGGCTGAAGTGCCTGCTTTGGGCAAGGCCTTCTTGGTTTGTGGTTGGTCTATGTCTGTCCTGAGCACACTGGCTGGCAAATTCCAGCCCATTGGCAATGTTATCAATCAATTTGGCTATAGTTTTCCTAATGAAACTTATTCTGCACTAAGAATTTTTCTAGACTTTGTTCAGGCTTCTTAAATTTTTCCCTCTTAGTGCCTTGACAGCCTATTCGACAAGATACAGATCAATCCTCCAAATTTTGCTGTATACTTCTATTTTATCAAGCCCCAGCTCACATATTAACTCTTCTCAAAAGCTTTCAAAATGCTCAATTCTTTCTGTCCATTCTAGTTTATTTCTCTCAATTTCTCTGGTGCTTAGTTCTCAAATGATTTATCCTGGGAAAGGATAAAGCATGCTTGGAAGTAGTGATGTTCGTAGGTGGCAACCTTATTAATAATTTCATAAACAATCTCTCTCTGTCTCTGTGTCTCTATGTCTCTGCCTCTCTCTGTATCTGTCTCTATCTCTCTATCTCTGTCTCTCTCTGTCTCTCTGTCTGTCTCTGTCTCTCCCTCCCTCCTCCCCCCCCTCTACCCCCCATCCCACTCCATGGATCCCAAGATCCCAAGCTTATAAGTATGGTATGAAAATAACAACACTGAGCTACGACCTCCAGACTTAGATCCAAAACCCTCTTATCTTCTTCATCCTGGTAAAATAAATCAGTGACTTGACCTCACTTTCATTTGTTACAGTAGAATAAGTGCTAAGTTATTGTCTAAATAGAATTTGGCTAAGCCCAGAGCTGCCTGTGGTTGCCAAGCTACACTAGGGTAACTTGTCATATGGAATCACATCTTAGTTAATTAGTTCCCAAGGTTTTGGTAAGAAGATATGTCAAACCTATCCTGGTAACTTTTCAATAGTAAAGGTGCATTTCTCTGCTTTTAACTGACCACGTAGAAGGGTTCTTGTTCTTTGCCAGGAAGCACAATTTTAAAGCTGTCTGATTAGTCACACAGAACAATCTCACAGCAAACACCCTGAAGACTAAGCAATCATTCCTCTAGGAGCTTTTGTCCAAATGCTCCCAAATGCCCAAGGCTTGAACAGTTTGTACCAGCATTTGAGAAATTTTAAAAATGAATAGAAGGAAGGGTAAACAGAGAGAAAAGAAGGAGAGGGGAAACCAGGGAGGGAGGAACAAAAAGAGAGAATAATGGCCCTGCTCTAATGATCAATTTTAGCGAGTCTAAAGCGGAAGCCAGGAATCTGGGATATTTTTGGTTAAATTTCTAAGACATTTAGATGAATACTCAGTGTGATAATCATTGATTGAGCCAACTATTTACACGGACTCCAAGACCACAGATACTAGGAATGTTATATTCTATATGCCTTTGCCAGCCAACCTTATTCATTACAGAATCTAAACAAGCAAAATAACAAAAATGACAAAAAACCAAAAAGACCTTCATAGGGTGTCAAGTTTTTTTTCCAATATAGCTTGTGATGTGAGCTGGCTAGTTTAGGGAACCTCAAGTACGAAAATGCTTCCATAAGTGGTCAGGCTGTAGGCAAGATTGTGAAGTGTTTTCTCAATTAGTAATTGATGGGGGAGGCTTGGCCAATTGTTGGTGGTGCTATCCAGGGCTGGTGGTCCTAGGTTTTATAAGAAAGCAGACTGAGCAAGCCATGAGGAGCAAGCCAGTAAACAACACCCCTTCAGGGCCTCTGCATCAGTTCCTAACTCCAGGTTCCTGTCCTAACTTCCTTTGATGACAAACAGTGATGTGGAAGTGCAAACCAACTAAACCCTTTCCTCCACAATTTGCTTTTGTTCATGGTGTTTCATCACAGTAATAGGAACCCTAACCAGGATAGGATACGAGTACATACAACAGTGGTTATATGTACATGTGTATGTCTGTGAAAAAGAAACAGAAGAAAAGCAATGGAAAATAATTAAGAAAAGATACAATAGATAGAAGACATGAAGAAAATACAGAAAGAAACTGAGAATGTTAGAGATACAAGTAAGAACAAGTAAGAGTAAATGGCAGAACACAGATTAGAAGCAGAAGCTGGTCTATAATAATTGAAGGAGGGTAGAGGAAGAGGGAAAGAGAGGGGAGAGAGAACAAGAACCATAGAGAAACAGGAAGGAGATGGAAGAGCCCTGATGGGATGCTCTTGAGGCATTTATTCAAAAATACATTTTCTTTCGCTTCTGTCTCCTGTTTCTTTTACCTTCCAGTTTTCCGGGAAGCTGTTTCAAAGAATCTGGTCCTGGATGCCACCCTACAAATAAAAGCCAACCAAGACTGATGAGTTGCAGTGAAATACAAATGAGAACCAAGGGTCAATGGAAAGGTCATAACACCCTGAAACACATGGGTCACCAATACTAGGCCCTATTTGAGAAACTCAAATATCAGAATGAGAAATGGCTCAGAACCAACAGGCACTCCAAGGCAACAAATAAGACCCTTTACTTCTTATTGATCCAAATGGTCAATGTCTGTAATTCACTCAGACCAGTCTTGGAAAATTAAAAAAAAATAATCTTTGGTTTCAAAATGTGGTTTAGGGAACTTTGTAAATATGCTTTGAGGATTTAGCTGAAGTTCTAAAGGCTTTGTTCTTTCCCCAGTTTTACAATTATGGAAAACAAGAGACACAAGAAAAAGGGGGATCAGGAGTTGAAATGCTAAGAAGGGTCCAGGTCACTGGCTGAGGAGAGGCCAACCAGGCTGGCTATGGCTAAGCAAAGCAGGTCCCTTAGGTCTGCTTCTTCCTTGGCTCCCCAATTTACTGCCAAGCACCAGAAAGGCCTGGATATCAGCTCAGCTCCTGTCCTGTGAGGGAATCTTTAGAGGCCCTGAGTCATTTTGGAAGATTTTTTTAAACGTACCTTTTCCTTGCGAGAAAGAAAGAAAAAAAGCCCCAAGCACAACTACAATGGGAAAAAAGCGTTCATTAAATTACTTGAAAACCAGTAGCAATAACACAAAATAAGCCAAAGATTTATAGAGCAAAAGAATCTAAAGGTAATTTTTCTACTCTACTGACATCAGGGCAGCTAAGAAAAAATGGGTCTTTATATAAAAAAATTTCAAAGGTCTTTCTCTTTAGTGAAATAGCTCAACTCTGGGTGTTGAGTGGAATACTCTAGACAGGGATGACACTGGATAGTCCCCTACATTATGAAGTAAATGATACTTCAGAGTCATGTGCTGTATACACTCAGCAACCACAGATGGTGATCCCGAAGGCACCATCTAGTGGTCAGCACCGGCCTTAGGTCAAGTTGAGGAAGCACATTACTTACACGGATGATGGGATTTCCTCTGCATTGCCAGAGACTGTTTCTGGCTTTGGCTCTTGCTTTTGTGAAATGCTGGACCGGCAAGGAGGGTCTGGGGGCCTCACTGGAGGACGGATGATTGTTTGCTTTTCTCCTGGGGGACGGACTTTGCTGAAACAGTCAGCATCTCCTAAAAGAGAAAACAACATCCAGGAGATAAATAGTCAACCAAATAGAACACCAAGCATTATTAGGCACCTCAACTGGGGTTGTCAGGACCATCTTCTCTTGGGCCCATTTCTTCTTGGCTAACAACACCTCTTTCTTTTTGTTTTAAAATGTTTCTGGCTGCTGTCCTTTAGGAAGCTTACATTTAAACCCGGGCTAAACAACTTCATGTTTGTTATGAATTTCATAATTCTATATTTGCTTCACTTTATAATTCAGAGTAGTGACATACCAGTTTACAGAAATTAAAGGGATTAAGTTAGGAACCAATGTGTCTACTACAGTGCCAGCTACACTGTAGTGATTGATGAGAAACTTGAATTCGATAAATTCATCACCACTAAAATTGGGATCCTGAGACTGGAGAAATGGCTTAGCAGTTGAAAGTACTTACTTACTGCTCTTGCTAAAGACCCAAGTTAGGTCCCCAGAACACATGTCAGGAGACTCACAGTCATCTAAAACTCCAGATCCAGGTGATTCAATGTTCTCTTCTGAATGCTGTGGGGCAACTACACTCATGTGCACATCTACATACAGGTGCACATAAAATTAAAAAACAAAATCTCAAAAAGTGCCAGGTACACTTCAGTATTAAAATAATGTCCTAAATCACCTTTTTACCTCCACTTTTCTGGCTTGCAGATTAACTGGAACATACATTTTATGAAATGGTCCTGGCAGGATTATGGCAAAGCAAATGTATTCACACACGGCTGGTGGCACTATAAATTGGCCTATTCTATCTAGATACCCATCAAGCATTCTGGAACAATCTGGATGAAATATAAAATTGTGCATAGGCAGTGATTCATACTTGTTTATCCAGTAATTCACTTTGATAAAAAAAAAAGTGCAAAGGAATTCATTCAAGATAAAAAATAAGGAAAATCAACTGCCACAAAACACATACCTTAATAGCAAAATGTCAGACCCTAACCACAAAGACTAAACAAACAATTTATTCTTATAAGCAATTAATCAATATGTATTACATACAAACTGACAAGAATTTGGACAAGGTCAAGACAAGTGTGTGTGTGTGTGTGTGTGTGTGTGTGTGTGTAATAATATAACTTAAAAATGAATCAATAAATCTGGGCATTGCAGTTCACATCTGTAATCCCAACACAGGGGAGCCTGAAGCAAAAGGATTAACATCAGTTTGGTCTATATAGTGAGTTCCAGGACAACCTAAGCTGCAGAGTAAGACTCTGTCTCAACAGTGGTACCCAAGGCATGCTTTCCCTTCTCTGACAAGAAGGGTAGGGGGTAATGGGGGGAGGAATGTATAAAGGCAAGACTGAAAATAGAAGAGGGAAGAAGGATGCAATCAGGATACAAAGTGAATACAAAAATAAACTATTAAAAAAGAAATAAACAAAAATCCACAAAAATTACTAATGTCCCAACAAAGGCAAAATTAAAATAGCCACATGTGTAACAAGCAAGTGCATTAGTAGATCTTGATATTTGCTTAGTGTCATGATATCTTGATTTATTATTTTAAAAGTTTCCAATATACATAAAATAATTTAATTGTAGTTACCATACACAGGGAATATAATTTCTCCCAGAAGCCATAGGTTACCAAACAAAAGGCTCACTGTGAGATATCTCCTCTCAGAACAACACAGTCTATTGCTACTCTTGGCTTTCCATTAAAATTTGATGGCAAGACTATTGCTGAAGGGATATACCACACACACTTTGGGCACAGAACATGGAGAAATCAAGTTAGCATGATCAGGAAGCCTCCACCCTGATGGCTAGCTTTCATGATACCAGAAGGTTCTATGTAGGGTGCTGGGGCTGGCACTTATCAGCAGTCATTACCTAGATATAAATCCTATAAGCAAAAATAACAACTGACCTGGAAAGATAGGCTCATAGATGCAATAATGGCATGAATATTACAGGGTAACCAACTACTTCCTAATTGGATTAGGGTCACCAAGAGAGGAAGCACATGGCTGCTACTTTAAGTATATCCTTAAATTCATGGTTGGGAAGTTCACTGGGCCAAAGGATGAGTCTACTTCTATCACTTTGGTAAATAGACATAGAATTAAACTGCCCTCTGGTCTGTTTCTCTATACATATGATTAATGTAGTTCTCAGATATCATTGGAGGAGTTTATTTGCTCAATAGACAACAGTTTACACAGAAACTCAAAACTAATCAAAGTATAGAGAATAGACACCTGTGGTTTCAATATTTCCTCGTTCCAAGGTACAGAGACTATTGCAGAAGAAATAAAGGACAAATTATAACAGCAACACAGTCTCTTCTGGACACTGAAAGACTATTGCACTCATGAGCCCACAGCAGCTATGGTTGTATGCAAACAACCTGCATAAGATGAAGTCAGCCAACAGTTCCAGGATAGAGAGAGGAGGGGCATGGAAGCCCACACCCAGCTGAGGAGATATTGACAAACAATGGCTACCAGGGAAGGGAGAATCAGTTTTCTTTACAGTGTGACTCCTGGTGTGGCAAACATATTCTAGTGGATGGCCCCCAAACTCATTAGTATGACAGAAACACAAGTCAAACTCAGTAGTTTTTACAAAAACAAAAGAGAGGAATCAAATTTGGAAGGGGTGAGAGGAGAGAGGAATCCAAAAGAAGTTACAGGGAGAAGGAGGGTAAATATGATTAAAAATATTGTATGTCAGTGAGAAATTCTCCAAAAAAATAATAAAAATATTATAAGTTTGTTTTATGAGAGACAGATCAAATCTGCACTTCATATTAAAAAGAATCATTTGCTGAGGAATTTTAGGGAAAAAGATAGAGGAAGTGATTCTGATAGTAGAGTATAAGCAGTATATTAGTGGAAGAATGAGGAAAACACTATTTCTGGATGTAGACAGAACTTCTATCTCCCCATCTAGGTTCTGTCTTACATTACTGGACATGCTATTCCCTGAGCATCAGGATCATTTTCAAACAAAAATGCATTTTTGTTTGCATTAGCAAACAAAAAATTAAAAATAAAAGTAATGATAATCATTTTTCCTAACAAATTGTTAGGAAAAACAAATTTCCAAACAGTATTGTTTGAAACATTCTCCTATATGATCTCCACAGTAAGCTGAGAAGTAAAGAATAGGACTTCATGACATTTCTATTTTACAGAGAAGGAAACCGAGGCTCAGAAAGGTAAATCCACTTTATCCGTTCCCTTCATGTTTAGATTGTGATAGAATAATGATCGAATTCTTATCTTCTGTGTCCATATCTACTACTACTTTCTCTGGTATCTGTTATGTCATTAGTAATAGCAATGTAAAATTGCAAATAACAGTAAGGAAAAAAAGTAAGTAAATTTATAGTTACTATTTATCGTTATTGGCTGATTTTACAGTGCAGGATTTAATCCCAAGGTCTTGCACAGTTTCAGTTCTGGCTACTTTTATTATTAAACACCAGTTCTGTTCCAAGTATTGTAACAATATATTTAGTGCTTTTTTACACGCAACTTTCATAGTTAAGATTGGCCGTAATTTTGCATAAATGTTATTCCCTTTCTACTGTTGAGAAAGATATTCCTAAAGGAAAAAGGAATCTCAAAGTTTATCACTAACAGATCCACTTTCTAGTTACCAGTGCTGCAGTAACTTTCAACCATGGCTATGCAATAGAACACGTAAAGACCTTTAGATGTCCAGTACCTGGATCCCATCCTCAGAGTTCCCAGTTTGACTGGGGTAGAACTTGGACATGAGTATTCCAAAGCTCCCAAGTAATACAATGATGGGAATTGTGATCTGCAAAATTGTAAGCCACACAACACTGCTTCTTCACTGCAGGTCACAGATGACCGAAGATGACAGTGATATCCCATTTCTACTAGTTACTGGAGTGAGGAGTTTGATAGGAAGGATGTTTTACTTTCAGAACCAGAAAATACTTCTACCTGAAGCTAGGGTTCATTTCTCTTGAAAACTACAGCAGATACCATACTCAAAACAGGAGCTTCATTCGTTACCTTTAAAGCCACATCAAAATGGACATCTAACTAGGGCCTGCAAAGTAAGTGTCATTAACTGTTTGTCTGATTAGGCCCTTTATATGCAACTCCAACTTGATGATTCATTTCAAGTCATTCTTTGAAGTAGCAGCAAAGAGTTTTCTTGGCTGAAAGACCCCGGTGTTGTTCTTTCTTGCCTCTAATTTGTCTCAGTCACAGTTAAGCCACAATGTCAAACTGGCAAGGCATGGAAGAAGTCATATAACTAGGAGTCGAGAAACCTGAATCCTCATCTTAATACTAAAACTAGCTTGTGTAAGTCAGCAGTTCATTTATTTCTCTATCAGTACAATATGAGGACTGGACTATTTTCCAGATGAATCAGCAGATGGTATCAGTCTGTAAACTTTCTGTTGACTTTTGTATGTTGCTTGGGGAATACCATAGAAGCCTCGATTTCCTTATCTGTCTCGCCCTCCTTCCTTTATTCCACCTTCTTTTTACCTCTCAAGAAGTGGATTTCAATTTCCTGGCTTCCTGTTGCCTGCAGAAAGTGCCCCAAATGCTTAAGTTGGCATTCAGTACCCTCTTCCCTTTTAGCAGTCCTTTTTGATCTAGCTTTCTACCATTCTTCTTCACATATGCTACAGTCCAGACAAACATTATTATTTATTGTTCTCTGTGCATGTCTTGTCATTAATCATCTTCCTGAGATGCTATTTATCCTATTCCCACATGCCCAAATTTGCATCCATTTACGTGCCATGTCTCTTAGGAAGCTTAAGATTCTCCAAGTTTCTTTCTGTAGCTCTTAAGGCACTGGTTGTCTTGTACTTTGGCTCTTTGTTTTCATGACTTTTTCTCCTCTATTAGAAATGGGAGCAACTTGAGAGCAAGATCCAGGTGGGAATCATCTGTGTATTCCCCAGAGACCCAAGTAAATTGCTCTGTGTGTAACCGGCAGATATTCAACAAATATTTATTG